AGCTCTTTTGCTGGTTGTTAGGTCTCAGTAAAGTCACCATGTAGTGGGCTCTGGGCACATGGGTATGTGGGCATCCAGTTCTTACTAAGGAATGAAATTGAAAGAACAGCACCCAAAAGTTCAATAGCATTTAGGATCAAAAAAATACATTTGTTTTTAATATTCCCTTGTTAGGAAGAACAAGCACTTTTAATTTACGTAATTACTCATACCTAGATAACATTCAGAGCTGTTTCAGGGCAGGAGCACTCAGACTTCTGCCAATCCCCAAACAGGCCAAAAATGTATGAGATTATAAATAAATCTGAAAACTTTTTATTGTGGGTTTTTTTTTTTTTTTAACTCCTAGCAAGGTAGCCCCCATCCTAACTCAAAAGCAATCAGATCATTGTTTTCGTATTCTCTGTTTATGCGAGAACAAGAGGTCACTGGATGACATTACTGCTTTGTAAATTTAGAACAAATAAAAGGAAATGCTACTTCACCTAGTGCGTGGTCATCCTGTGGAATATACTGTTCCAGGATGTTAGTCAAAAGCTGTAACTAGAACATAAAAAATAGCTGGACCACGCTCGTTTCTAGCCACGTTTGCCAAGGGATATCCAAGCCTCGTGTTCCAGAGCATCGGCTCATCACGGCTGTAGCTGAGAGCAAATACCCCAGACTCCCTGGCTGGGAAAGGGCAGTTTTTCGGGGGGAAGGTTGTTGTGGCTTCTTTTGGAGATTACAAGAATGATTTTTTTAAATTTTTTTTTTTTGTGTGTAAGAGGTTAGATCTATCATCGGTCTTGTCTAAACAGTGCAGTGTATGTAATAACCTTTCTCCTTCAGGTGGATTTCTGGAGTTGAAATTACTGGCTCAAATAGAAGGAGGTAAAAGTGGTAGGATGAGTGGTTTTCTTTCCCTGTGAGTGAGAGCAGGGTAGTGGCATGCCTGTTGTACATTGGCCTGTGCAGGTGAGAGACCAGCGGCTGCCTGCAGCGCAGGGAAAGCAGAAGTGTCTTATTCTCACAAGGTATCTGGTGTTGGCTGTTGTGTGTGTGAGGCTGTGTGAAAGGCGAGAACTGTTGAACACTCTGTGAAGGAAGTGTCCCTATTAACACGTTTCTGAATTCCTATAATTATCCTCATTAAAATGTTTAACTGTAACACCACTGCATCAGAAAAACAGGTTTCTGTGGTTTCTTAATTTCCCCAAAGAATTGTTACACTAGTTACCTTAAAAAGTTATCTGTCCTTCACAGTGAAGCCTGAATTGTTCCACTTTGTCCTCCTTGGAATAGGAGTGAAGTTAAAGATTGTATTCTTTTATTTCCCATCTCTGATAACACCAGTAAATCCCAATGCAAATACTGCTTTAGAACTGACTAGTGGGGAATGCTCTTCATAAATTTATCTTGCACAAAGCTGCATTTTGTTTGCAGTTTTGTAGTTACACAATAGACCCTTTATTTTAATTCTGTGACACTTTTGTCTGGATGATTCAAGTATGAAAATCTTCTTGATCTCTTTATTTGTCCTCTTGTCTTACAAACTTTAACTTTGAACAGAGGATTGTCCAGCACTGGATATGGGGATTTTTAAGATGATGCAGTAGGTGACTTAACAAGGAATTAGTGATTTTCTGTATTGGACGGTCTCTCCAGTGATCCAGGAAGTCAGTACTCTGAGAAATTAATTCTTATCAAAGGAGCATCTGCATTTCTGTATTTTGTGCCATGATTTTTAGATTTTATATCTTACAAGGTGATTTAAAAATGATATAATGATACTATGTACTTTGCATTTGCCTTTCCCCTCTGCTCACCCCACAACCCCTGAAAAAAAAGAAAAATAGGAAGAGGGGTAGCACTGAGTAGGAGTGTTCTGAAATTGGATTGTGATGATGATAAATTAATTTTACCAACAAAGTGTATGCCAGTGGCTTGTTGAGTGCACTGGTAGTTCCTTATAAAACCTGGCTGGTTTTAAAGCAATGAAAGGTCCTTGGATGCTTTATCATAGGATGTTTGAAGTTTACGTAGGGTACAGTTGTACATGTGCAATTATAGATGTTCTTGGCTTTGCTGACAGAAAAAAGTGGGGCCCTCCGTTGTCTGAACAAATGAACAAATTATTTGAACTTGGTTTTACTTCCAGGGAAAAAGCTGGTTCCTCTTAGCAGGACTTAAGAGATGCTGCTCGTTCTTTTAACTTCATGCTGATTTTTGCAGTAGTGTTTCATGCGCCGTAAAAGGTTTCTCTAGGGTAGCCATTGTTACATAGCAGAGTTTTTTTTCATTGTTACATAGCAGAGTTTTTGATGGAAATACAGTTAACCACACGCTTTTTGCTTTCCTAAAGAAAAAGATAGATTGCTGTGATTACCTTCTTTGGGAATAAATTTTAGCAGAGCTCGAATTGCTTAAGGGAAAGGTCAGGGAAGAGGGAAGGAGTTCTTCAAAGTTTTATTTTAGGAAAATTGTAAATATTTATTTCTGTTTTTCTTAGGATTGATACAGATCAGGTCGTTTTGTCCAAGATAGAATGCTCTATGCCAAAACTGTGTTTCTAATATGAATGACCAGTCCTTGCTTTAAAAAGGCTCCATTCATTGCTTACTTTATATGTCTGTAGGACCCTTTTCTAGGTATAGGTAATGCCTCTGGCTAAAGTTAGTGTTATTGCAGGTGAATGCTGCAATCTATCCTATGGAAAGAAACATTTTGAAAATTGAAGAGCTTAAAATAAAGCAGAAATTTACAGGTGTATCTTTTGTTGACTTTACATACACATTTCTTAGTGGGTGCTCTGAGGCACTTCAGCATCAACTAAAAGTTTGATGTTCCACTTCAGAGGTTTTTATTTTTAATCTGGTTTATGAATGATAATGAGAGAAGTGAGAAACAGACTGGAAAATGGTAGTTAACGGAGGTCATGTATTAGGGTGATGTGTATGGGTTTTTAAGTGTTCATTAGCAAAATTTTGGTTGCATGCTTGCAAGAGCCACACAGGCCTCATTAACCCAACACAGTCCTAGTTTGTTTTAATGCATTATTTCAGATGTTAGGGTACAATGTGCTGGAAAAGCAGATGATGTGGACAGTTTTTTTGATATACAGGGGCATGAAATGCAGAGGGGCACAGGAGAGCCTGGGCTGCTGGAAGTTTTTAGATTTGACATAAAGGGGAGCCTTTTGTTTTTTGTTAATGGTGCTCAGCCTTAATGCAGCTTTTCTTAAATGCAGGTCTTGCAAATAGTTCAATATTGGTCTAATTTAAGAAGTCAGTTTGATGGAAATCATTACAGAGGTGTGCACAAAGAGGCAGTGTTAGTAAGAAGGACTTGAGGGTGTTGGTTGACAAGAAACTCAACATGAGCCGGCAATGCGCATTGCAGCCCAGAAGGCCAACTGTATTTTGGGCTGCATCAAAAGCAGTGTGGCCAGCAGGTTAAGGGAGGTGATTCTCCCCTTCTACTTTGCTCTGGTGAGACCCCACCTGCAGGGCTGCGTCCAGCTCTGGGGCCCCCAGCACAAGAAGGACATGGACCTGCTCAGGCAGGTCCAGAGGAGGCCATGCAGATGCTCAGGGGGTGGGAGCACCTCCCCTGTGAGGGCAGGCTGAGAGAGCTGGGGTTGTTCAGCCTGGAGAAGAGAAGGCTCCGGGGAGACCTTATGGTGGTCTTTCAGTACGTAAAGGGGGCCTAAATGAAAGGTGGGGAGGGACTCTTGATCAGGGAGGGTAGTGATAGGATAAGGCGGAATGGCTTTAAACTGAACGAGGGTAAATTGAGATTAGATATTAGGAAGAAGTTCTTCACCCTGAGGGTGGTGAGACACTGGACCAGGTTGCCCAGAGAAGCTGTGGCTGTCCCCTCCCTGGCAGTGTTCAAGGCCAGGTTGGATGGGGCTTGGAGCAACCTGGTCTGGTGGAAGGTGTCTCTGCCCATGGCAGGGGGGTTGGAACTAAGTGATCTTTGAGGTCCCTTCTAGCCCAAACCATTCTGTGATTCTGTGATTTTATGGTGAGATAACTACAGTGTGGGGAAGAAAGACTTTGGTCTTAGGAAGAATAAATGTTGATTTATAGTCAAGTCTGGACCCCAGCTGAATGGGTAGCCCTGGGGACTGCAGACATAGTCCTATGAAGAGCTAGGAGCTTTTATTTCTCTCTGCTGCCGCCATCTGACAAAAGGAGAGAACGTTGGTGGTAAGCTGCGCAGAGTCCTGTCTGCCTTCCTGGGCAGAGGGGAGCTTGGGCCACCCTCCGTGTTTTCTACTGGTTTGTTAAAACACTGAACGGTTTATTTAACACGTGGAATTAGCCCAGGGTAGAACCACACTGAGGACAGTATTTGTAGAGGAAGGCAAACTTACCACTCCAACAAATGTTCCTCAAGCTGCTAGTGGAATATTTGTTGGAATATCTTTTATGTAATAAATGTAGAACAAGCCCTTGGGAAACATAAGGGTTCAAAATGCAGTGATTTCTCTTCTAGATTGCTTATTTTGTTTGGTTTCTACCCTCCTCCCTCCCCACTTGCCATGACTAAACAGATTTTTAGTACAATGTTACAGAGTATGTTATCTAATTCATTATTTGCTAGAAAGTGGTATTATACTGTTAACAAAATGTTTTAATGTTGTTGCCAATTTAAAAAGTAATTAAGTACTTAAAAAAAAACTAATGCAAGGTCTGCACATGTAATATATTAACTCCTGCTGCTCTGTGCTTGATTTGTGTTTTGTTGTTATCTGGGTATGAGAGATTTCTTTATTCAGGTCAGTATTGGGAATGACAGCTAAAGTCTGTGGTTCTGTACTTTAATGAAGGAATTAAGGTATGCTATGGTGGAAGAGAAACATGGTTGAAAGGTGCAAATAACTGCTGTTCTGTTGTGCAGCTCATTGCTTCTGAAAATAACTTCGATAGACTATGCTAGTGATAACATATTCTCTTGCTGTCTCTCATTCACGTGCCTAGAATACACACTATTCATTTTCTCTCACTCTTCAGATTATCACTCCGTGTCGGAAGCTCATCCTTTGTGCTGATAACAGAAAAGAGATGGAAGATTGGATTGCAGCACTGAAGACTGTACAAAACCGTGAACATTTTGAGGTAACAGGAAAATGTGTTCCTTTGCACATTGTGCCTCCCAAATAACAGCTTGTTTTGAGATTGGAGTCAGCTTCCAGTGAAGTTAATAGAAGTCATTTTTATTGACTATAGTGGATATGGTGTTAGGTCTTCAGTGTATTTGGGATAGTCGTTACAGAATTGATTCTCCAGAGAACGCTTGTGGCTTTGTATACTCTCCCTTGGTAACTTTGAGAAAACTTTTCAGAGTATGGGCAGGTTATGAAACACAATTCTCCCCTTGTATTTTCACTCTTCTCCCTGTCCTAATTCATGTCTTGCCTGCTTGGTGTTCTGCCTACTTCAATGCATCTGTTTGCTTCCTGGGGCTGTAGTTAGACCAGCACTACTACCAAAAGAAACTGTCTTGTGTTTTCTCCATTCTAATGCTTGTGTCCCTGCTCTCTTTTGCTGGCACAAGCATTCCTCTGCTATGCAATAAACCAAGCTGGGGAACTGATCGTGCTGAAAACTTAATCCAACAAAAAAATGGGGAAGGATCAGCTCTCCAGCAGACAAATTTTCCAGTTCATTTCTCCTACACGTGCTTGTAGTGAGGCAAGGATGAGAGGTAGGACAGGAGCATGGATGAAGGTGTGGCAGCTTCTCCAAGTAGTCTCTTGTGGCTTAAAGACCTTCTTGAGTTACAGCTAGTGTGTATAAACTGCATGTGGCCTGCTCTTGCCTAGTAAAAGTGTGCTCTTTCTGCCATTCCTCACTGCTATGTGCAAGTCTTTAAGGGAAAAATAAGCCTTGTTGCTGTACTTTAGACTTTGCTGTAACACATTTATTTTATTAGTCTACCCAGTACAGCATGGACCATTTCTCAGGGATGCATAACTGGTACGCCTGCTCACATGCTCGGCCAACATACTGCAATGTGTGTCGGGAAGCGTTATCTGGAGTCACGTCACATGGGCTCTCATGTGAAGGTAAGTGTGCTTTCTTGTCTCCTGTTTTGAGAGCACCGTCTTTATAGCTCAATGCCATGTTCCAGAGATAATTTAAGAGGAATGTTGTTAACAGTCTGCAAAAAGATGTGGAAGAATGCTGCGTAATAAACTTGAGAGCTACAGACTGTGTATGACCCTGGAGGTCTTCTCTGGACCTGATGCTGATATCCTTTGCTGCTGAATTCCTTTGGCTTCACAGAGAGTTTTCCTGCAGAAGTCAAGATCAGGATCGTGGCATTTTGTAAAAGGGTAATAGATGTGATGAAGTTTTCATGCTGGTTTTAGTGTTGGATCTGGTGGTAATATAGCTGATTATTTTTTTTCCTGTATACTGCCATCCCTTATTAAAATCATGCTTCTGAAGTGGACAGGTATGTACTTCTGTGGTATCAGGTGGAATATTCAGATGAATACTCCTGTTCATAAGAATAATCGTGTTTGTAAGAACATCCTTGTTAAGTGTTTGAATGCCAGGAGGTTGTTCTTTTTCAGCTTTGGCATAGCAGACATGCCTGGCTGCACTCAGCTCATGCTCCTGGTGTGAATGAAGTTACACTCACACTGTTTAAAAGGATGCAGGAGTGTATGACTATGTAAATCATGTCACATTTAACAAGGTGATAACTAAGTTTTGTACAAGCAGCTAGCAAAAGTGACAAGGCAGGAGTTAATACCTAACTCATCTTACTCAGTACGCTTAAAGCTGATAGTTCTGGCAGTGCTAACAAGGGCAGTGTGTGCCTGTGCTTTTTTCTGGAGCCAAATATGATCACTTGGGAAAGCTTTCGCACAGACTGACCATTACATATTCTAAGGCAGGATTAATATATTCTTCTCTAGTGTGCAAGTTTAAAGCCCACAAGCGATGTGCTGTGCGGGCAACCAATAACTGCAAGTGGACAACTCTGGCCTCTATCGGGAAGGATATCATTGAGGATGAAGATGGGGTAGGTGTTAGTCTTAACTCTTCTAGCCTTACCTTGACATGGAAGCACTGGCATGTGCTCTACAGCTTTCTTCACTGTACAAATGGCAGATTCTGCCTTTATGTGTTAGCGATGTGGGAAAGGCCTTTGCTGTCAGAACTTAAGATTCTGTGTGAAAAGTCCAACCAGGGTAGTGAGGACTCCTTAAAAGAGACTCCTGCTCTGGATCGGGGAGTTGAGGTTAAATAATTTGAGATATGGGGAACCTGGAACAGTACCTTAGCCTATGGGATGTCTGATACAAGTCATTGTTTCCTGGGTATTCTGGGGCGAGTCACCTGGTCTCTTTGTGCCCGAGCATGATGTAAAGTGCCAGAAGAGGCCTTTGCCATCCTTAAACAGTGCATATAAAGGCTCGCCCACTGTATGTCCCAGTGCCACAGTGCATGCTGCGCCCTTGAGTTCCACTCTGGAAAGTCCATATTGCTTCTCTCCATCTGTACCATTTGCAGATCTCCATGCCACATCAGTGGTTGGAAGGAAACCTGCCTGTCAGTGCCAAATGCACTGTGTGTGATAAAACCTGTGGCAGTGTCCTACGCTTGCAAGACTGGCGCTGCCTTTGGTGCAAAGCCATGGTGAGTTGAATAAACATGATCGTTTCAGTAAAAGCATGGTCTTGATCAGCTATTTGGTGTACTCTTTTAATGACATTTACTTAGAATGAAATCTCTAACCATGCTGTTAGTACTTGCCGTGAAGGACTTTATTGTTCTTTCTCCAGATGATAAACAGCCTGCAAAAGATAGAAATTTTAAGTTTGTGCTGAAAAGTGTCACTGCTATGTGTACAAGTTAGACCTGAAATAAGTATCTGGTTCTTTGAAAGCTCGTTTTCTTTTGATAGTGAGCTTTCGTAGAAGAATCTAATTACACTAGATATGAATCGATGCTCAGGCATGGGAGATGTTGGATTTTTAGGAGTCATTATTTGTCATTTCTACAAGTTGAAAAGGTACAACAAAAAAGGACGATAAAGAATACTAAGCTATTCTAATAATAGCTATTTCCCTTCCCATTGCAATAAGTTTCTCTTGCCCCTAACCATTGCAGTGATGCGAATCTTGCTATGTTTTCAATTGTCTATAGTATTAATAAGAGAAGTATCACAAAATAAGTGTTTATGATGTAGGGGGCAGGAGCTCAAACCCCAAGCAAACCCTCTGTCTCGCAGTCTTTGTGTACCAGAAATGATGAAAGTGCCCTACTCTACTTTGTATTTCCTTTTTTTTGGGTGGCTTTATTAATCCCTTCTTCTCTTACCTCTTATGTCCCTCATGTCTTCCTGCTTTGTTTTTTTGGTTTCTTGTTTTCTTGAATTCCCAGCTTTTTCTTTTGTTGCTACTTTTGATCTCTCAACTGAGGCCAGGATTTTGAAAGCGGAATACTTGAAGGCTCTTAAAGCCTTCTGTTATCTGGTCCTCTCAGCACTCAAAGTGCTAGTCTCATAAATTCAAATGGCAGAAAAAGTGCATACTGATCGAAAGAGGAGAATTAGTAGAAGACTCTGATTAGATCATTCTTAAAATAACTTTTATTGATTGAATTTCCTTGGATTTGCCCTCTCTTCTTTTTTACTCTTCCTTTACAGCCTCTTGTTGGGTGGCTTTCTGAGTTATACCACAGTGCCCAAAAGGGTTTGAATGATTTTTTTTTTTTTTTTTTTTTTTTTGGTGGCGTTTTCAGGTACACACAGCATGTAAAGAGTTGTTGCCAAACAAGTGCCCTCTTGGGCTGTGCAAAGTATCTGTCATTCCTCCTACTGCTCTTAACAGCATTGATTCAGATGGTAAGTATCGCTACTAAGTAGTGCCTTCTTTCTCTTCCTCTCAGTCAGTCCCTTCAGCTAACACTATTAATGCTAGTCTCTGTCAACTGAAAATTCTACATTTGCTATTGCTGGAATTCCAAACTGGAAGACATTGCTGAAATATGGCAGTGAACTGTTTGCTTTGCTTTTGCATTCGGTTTGTTACTCTGTAACATCCGTATTTGCTGAGCTGAAGCTGTTTAGGAAGGTTGAGGAAGCTGAAAATTTTGGCATACTGCTAGGAGATAAGTGTGACATTTGGCAGCATGAGATGTGGTTTGTGCTGAATTCAGGGCTATGCACATTTAGCATTTACCCAGTGAGTGCCATAAGCACAAGGAAAGTATTAGCTTCTTCATAGCTGTGCTGGAGTGTGGGGTGTTGCTTTTTTTCTCGCTCCACCTACATGGGCGGCTTCACATCCCTTGGCTTTTCCTCCTTCTCCCTTCCCTTTTTCCTGACAGGTTTCTGGAAAGCTACTTGTCCCCCTTCTTGCACAAGCCCTTTGTTGGTCTTTGTCAACTCAAAAAGTGGAGACAACCAAGGCGTAAAATTTCTACGAAGGTTCAAACAGCTACTGAATCCAGCCCAGGTCTTTGACCTCATGAATGGAGGCCCTCACCTTGGGTAAGCGGGTATTCTATGGAAGCACACATTTCCTTGTAAATACCAGAAAAGTGTGAGGTTTTAATTTGATTATAAGCTTATCCTCAAATATAGCAAGGAGCCTATTCCTCAGAGAAGACTGAACACATATGGAGTTTGGAGGGGTTTCCCCCTCTCTGTTTGATGTTATTGATTAGCTAAAACCAAAAATATTGTTGAAAAAAGTTATTTCCATTCATCAGTAACAGCAGGACAGCTTGAGGAGTTTTAGGGGAATTCCAGAAACACTCCTCTGGAAGAAGACCAAGCATGGAAAGCTTGAATCCGGAAGAAAACTTATCAGCAGACATATTTGTAACAAGTGTACTGTTAATGAGAGTTAACTTCAGTAAATCAGGTGAACAGGCAAATGTCATAGGTAGCAAATGAATATTGTCAAAATGAGATTTATCCAGAAAAAACTTACCTGGGAAGTTTGTGAAACTTCCACCCCTTAAAGATTTTATGGTGATATTGAGAAAACATCTCTTATGAGTGCTTTTGATAAAGTCAGTTCTGCCCTGGACTCTAGATGACATTTCAGGCTTGTTTACCAGATTGCACTAAAGTATCTATGGATTAAAAAAAAAAGTGGGTGCTGTGGAATAAATTGCTTTAGTGTATTTCTGCAACTCTGTTTCAAAAAAAAAAATAAAAATTTTGGTCTCTAAGTTGTCCTCTTCCAAATGTTTCTTTGTTGAATTGTATTTCAGTGATTTTTGTCATGAATGGGTGCTTTTTATAATAAAAGCCAGCACAAGATGAATTTCCTTCATATTTTTCTAAATGTGACTCAAAATCTATGACTAAGACCTGTAGATGCAGGGTGCTAAATCTAGGAGTGTCCGCTCCTGGATGAGTGACTGTCAGGTTCTGCTCTTCTAAGAACTACTGTGGTTTCTTGCTATGCTGTATTGCAGACCACTGGCATTTAGAACTGCAGCGTGCTGTCCGCAGGATGTTTGGCTGATAAATAATTTACAGAAAACCTTTAAAATTAAGTATTTTTCTTCTTCCCCTCCCCAGTTGGACTGTCTTTGCTTTTAAACAGGAGAGAAGGGAATGGAGGGAATCAGTTATTTTCTCAGGCTGTGGCAAACACTTCTAAAACAGCTGCTCTTGTATGCTTTCTTGAAAAGGAAATGATGGAACAGAATAAAGGCTGCTTCTTGATAATTTAAAATTCTCATCTGGTGCCAGTCAAACTGTACTGTAAGATGTTGTAATTTCTGATAGCCATTTTTTATGTGTCAACAATGCTAGAAGAAATAACAATTTTCATGTACTACAGCAAATCCCGTTTAGGTAATAAAAAAAATAAATGTACAAAACCAAAATAAAAGCAGGCAATAGTTCTGGAAGATGTTTAGTATGACGCACAGTTTCAAACAGTTTAAGGAAAGGTTGCTTTTATTATTCTGGAAAGGGTGAATAGCAAAATTCACGCTTGTCTTGCTGGTGAGTTGCCTGCTTGCCTGCAGGACAGACAAGGCACCAGAGCATTGATTTCTGTTGCTTTCCCTGAAGGACTAAAGCTTGTGAGGCTTTACGTCCTCTTCAAGTTGTCTGCTTACTGAATGACTGCGTAAGTTCCCACTCTTTAAGCTTTGATTTAATTGGTGCAACCTTGAATGTGAAGGCAGTGACATCAGAGCACTCCAAACAGTGACAAATAACTAGTGTTAGGCTGAACACAACAAATCTGGGAAAAGGAATTAATTCAATGGATAATCAGCTATATCACATGCTTGTTTCCTCTTCTGTTCAGACAAAAGTGCTGTGCTTTAGTGGAGGAGTATGTCTGGGACATATTTCTGTAGTGAACAGCCGTTGTAAATTGCTTAGCTATATTTATAATTCCATATTTATAATAATTTTAATTCATCTGAAGTCTGAGAGTGGCCCATATTCATTGTGAAATCAGAGCCTACTTTGAGCAAATATGCCATGTTTATTACCTAGATTGGACTTGTTTATAATTTTTTTCTGTAACAGCTGATCGTCCTTCCCTCTTGCCTTTTTCTTTCCCTTCTCTGTAGTTTACGCTTATTCCAGAAATTTGACACTTTCCGGATTCTAGTTTGCGGTGGGGACGGAAGTGTTGGCTGGGTTCTCTCCGAAATTGATAGCCTCAATCTTCACAAGCAGGTACCTGCCCAAAGAGCTTGGTTGGATGAAAGAATGAAGTAGTAACAACAGCATGGGTTGGAGAGGAATTTCTTTGATCATCCAGATGGAGTTTGCCCCAGGACTGAAGCCACTGAAAGCTTACCACAGCAGTGTTCTTGCAGTAGTTTTTTACAAGAAACAGTACTGAACTATTTGATTATTCCTATCTCCAGTGCTTCTCCACAACTCCCCCTGACAAGATCCAGCTTTTGGAGTAGCTCTGACTTACTCCTGCTCCATTGCAGCAGAGACTTGTACTCAGGAAAAGCTACAGTTAGAAAACTGGGAGTTCCACAAGGGTTATGATTCTCATCTATTCCCTTTAATTCTCATGGTGTAGTTTTCTAAGTCTTGGGATAGACAGAAACTTCAGTGAAGTAGAGGCATCACACATTGTTTAATTAGTTTCCATTTTGTCTTGGAGAGGGCTATATGAATTTTACAGAAAAAGCAACAGCACCACCTGATGGTTAAGTAAATACATCTGTAGAAGGGGTTTAGCAAGCATTGTAGAAGGGTTTTAGCAATGTGCTCCTCGAGGTGGTAGCTGTAATATGCTCATCTCTCAATTAACAACTTAAAAGTAGAGGAAGTTTTCCCTTACTTGCATGCGCTTCTGGCTGTTTGCCCCATCCAATTACTTTGTCCTCACCCTGGAACTAGCTGTTTCTCAATGACTGGTCTGTATAAGGAATCATTCATGTTACTTGTGGCTGTTTGCAGCTTGTGTTTTCCCATTTGAATATTGGTTTTGGTTTCCTTTTCTCTAATGCAGTGCCAGCTGGGAGTGCTGCCCTTGGGAACTGGGAATGACCTTGCCCGTGTGTTAGGCTGGGGGTCTGCTTGTGATGATGACACCCAGCTCCCACAGATCCTGGAGAAGCTGGAGAGGGCTAGTACCAAAATGCTGGACAGGTGAGTAACCATCACTACGCTACTCCCCTGCTCAAGAGTTGTGTGAAGATATCCTTCTAGGACAATTGGGCAGTTTTTGATCCTGCCCAGCAGCTGGACTTCTTACCAATGCCAGTTAATCGTTTTTTCTTTGATAATTCTCTGTCGCCCTTTAGCAACAAAAGGTAGTCTGGCTTTCTGTGTCACTGCTGCAGAATAGAAATGAGTGAAATTGCCCAATGTCCAGTGTCCTTGTCTCATGTTCCAGAGTTCTCCTCGATTGAATTTGTCAGCCTTATGGGCACGGTTTATCTTTTTAAGCTAATTTTTTTCTCGGTAAATTTGAACTAATTTGTCTTGAGTTTGACTTAGAAATGAAAGCTGAATGCAGAAATGGACATCTTTATCCCTAGTATTGGTATCGCCTATGTATCTTTGTACATTTAAAAATGGTTCCTGTCTTTAGAGCTGCATCTTGGCATCTGTTGATGCCAATTTGAGTCAAAGTTATGCCCGTAGAATTTCTAAGAGGGAAGGTGTTCCCTGTGCTGTAGGATACTTGTTCATAGTGTCATCCTTCCCTCTTCCCCCAGTTCAGCTCCTGTGCAGTTCCCTTGCAAGTCTGTGGCTTCGTTACATCAGTCGTGCCTCTGCCAAAGTGCAATTTGTTCTGCTTTGAGGTTCTAACCTGTTACGTCCTTTGGATAAAGGAGGAAATCATCTGCCTTATAGTGACAAGTATGATGCCTCCTTTTCAACAGGTGGAGCATTATGGTGTATGAAACCAAACTCCCTCGCCAGGCCTCCACTTCCACAGTCACTGAAGATTTCAGTGAGGATTCTGAGGTACCTTGCAAGATGCAGAGGGCAGGGGACTGGGAGCAACAGCCTCAGAACAGATGAGATAGGATGCAGTGGTTGAGCTCAAGTGGAGCAGGCCTGAGCCATGATTTGGGTGTAGCAGGAGCTACAAAGATCTGGGGGCTTTAAGTCAATGAAGTATTATGGAGAAGGATGGAGGTTGGGTTACCAGAGTCAATAACCATAATGAGGGATGAGAAGAAGGTGTTTTGGAACAGGATAGAGAGGAAATGTCTGTCATGACAGCAAGTTGATGAAATTGTGGAAAGCTGCATAGCACTCATAAAAAAACCAAACCAAAACAAAAAACCAATTTTAGATCCACAGTTGATCAGAGACTTTTAAGAACTGCGTTGCTGCTGATTTCTGGGTTCAAAATTAGTTTCTTCATCACATTCAGGTCTTCAGTGAGTAACTGAACCCTGGACCACAGAACTTTTCCAGGGCAAAAAGAACCTGTAGAATGAAAGATACTCTCTGGGGAGCCAGGGATACACAGCATATGTTGTAATGTTAGGAAGCAGCACCCTAGTGGCTTGTTTCTGACTGTCACAGGTGCAGAAGATTCTCTTTTATGAAGACTCTGTGGCTGCTCATTTGTCCAAAATTTTGACTTCTGACCAACACTCAGTGGTCATCTCCTCAGCCAAGTGAGTACTTAGAGGACAACTGCTCTAAGTGAAAGTTGCACTGTGAAAATCCTGAGACAATCTTTGCATGACTTTGTTTTCACTGCCTTCTTTGTCTAGGGTGCTTTGTGAGACAGTGAAGGATTTTGTGGCTCCGGTAGAAGCCTATGAGAAGGCAACGGAAAGCTCAGAGGAATCAGAGGTCATGGCCAGGAAGGTAAAATTGGAAAAATTGTTTGGGCTTCTACTTCTAAAGTGGAAAACTGTTCTGTTTTCAGAGAACTAGGACAGCAGCGGTTCATCAAGCATGAAAAGAATGAGCTACCCAGTCTACTGTTAGTTCTACTCAAATGTGCTTCTTTGCCTTGTAGTGCTCTGTCCTGAAGGAGAAACTGGACTCATTGCTGAAGACACTGAATGATGAATCACAAGCATCTTCATCTCTGCCAAACCCTCCTCCCACCATTGCAGAGGAAGCCGAAGATGGTGATGGGTCAGGCAGTGCTTGTGATTCTTCTAGCGACCGGTCAGTGGGCTCATCATGTGCTGCACGGCCCCAGATATTTCGTCCCAGAGAACAGCTCATGTTGAGAGCCAACAGCTTGAAAAAAGCCATTCGTCAAATAATAGAGCATGCAGAAAAAGGTAACCTGTTACGAGTCCTGCTTGTGACTTGTTACAGGCTCTTGAGAAGTATAAATTTCCTTTATTCTAGAGGGGAGTAGGGTTCTTTATTAAAAACAGCTTTCCTGAGCTGGAGAAGCTATTCAGTAAGCCTAGCTATTTAGTTTCATTATCATTTCTGCCAGGCCCAACTGTTTGAAACATTGCTTGGTAAATGAGCCTGAGGTTCAAGGTGTGTTCTTTCCAACAGGGCTGGTTTAGGAAGTTACTGCCCTCCCACACTCTGTTCATTTGCATTTCCTGTCTGTCCCGACCCGTACCACAAGTGTGTCAGTGCAACCATTTGTGTGGCCTTGCTGTAAAACAGATCTGAAAATATTTGGGAAGAAAGTATTTGGAGTATTTTAACTTGGATTGTTTCAGAAATCTGTTTATAGTAGAGCCCAGCAAAACAACGCAGTGGTACAACTGCAAGAGAGAACAGGAACTTACACTAGATTTGTCACTGAGAAAATGTTATAATACTGCACCTTGATGCAAATCAGTTCTGTTCTGTTGTTAACTTCCTGGGCAGGTGACCCTTTTCCACATCTTGACACTTGGCTCTCTCCAGCCACTCACACCCATAGCTCAAACTTTCATTTCCTTCGAAAGGTATCAGTCTCCCAGTTGTTAGTCATAAACTCAGTGGTCTCATTTAGACCAAAGAAAGTGCTTAGCAGCTAATTACTGGAGATAAAAGCATGGAAGTTGCAGATGTGGCATCCTTGCACACCTAAATGTGCACTATGAACAGCTAAGTAGTAAGTTACTGATGATGGCAATGTTGCTTGAATTTCCAGCACTGCAATGTTGTATACAACCTGTCCTGAAGGTGAAGTTGTATGAGATGATGGAAGTTGAGCAAACATTCTGCTTCTGGTGAAGTGGAGGTCTTGACCTCACTGCTGCCCTACTTTGCTGCTGCTTACCTTATGCCAATTTGCTGTTTGTTGGAGTTCTTTTGGAGCCCAACCAGTATGCTTAATCCAGCAAGAAGAGTTTATATTTATGCTGGGCTAGTGGGTTGGATTGTCTTGTGGATAGTGTTGATGAACTCCAGAGTCAGAACAAGGGAGGGGAAGAGGCTAACAGAAGCGGGGCTTGTCCCCCTGCAAAGGTAGTGAGCTGGTAGATCAGCTCAGCGCTGTGCCCCCTGTGAGGGGTTGCTGGGGAGGAAGGCCTATTGATTACATGCAAAAGAAGTTTTGATTTGTTTAGGCAACATGCTAGCATTTAATTCTTACCAGCTCTTGGGCAAACTCCACTTAGGTTTCAAATGTATTTGCTCAACTTCTCCAAACTGTTTTTCTTCTTCCGAAGTATGTAATCAGATTCTTTCCTTTCTTTCTATTGTTTTTTCACCAACTGCTGTTTTCTTCCTCCTGATTATATGTGTCTAAGTGCCCTTTTCAAGTGGCTTGTCCTATTGCCCCAGTACAGATTAAGCAAACAGAAAACTCCTTCAATTTAACATTTAATGTCCATCTAGTTAGAATTTCTGCCAACATCTAAATAAAAATAAATGGAAGCCATCACCTGTAGCACAGTTTGCATCTTGGGAAGCCTAACTACCAGTAGCATTAAAGGTGGACTCTTCTATTGAGAGCCTCACTGCTAAAGAGCTCAGCAAAGAAAACAGGAGGCTAAGCCAGCCCAGTTCCAAAAGCTCTCCAGAGCAGAGCTTAGTTGAGACAAATGATAGGAAAACTTTTTGATATTCCTGTTCTGTCCTTTAAGGAATCAAGGCCTTTAGAGTCCCATCCTATTGTTATTTACAGCAGTGGGAGGTGTTCCTTGCTAGAAGAGCTGTGGGGCACTCACCTGCTTTCTCTCCTTACAGCTGTAGATGAGCAGAATGCCCAGACCCAGGAGCAAGAGGGCTTCCTTCTTAGCCTCTCAGCCTCTGAAGAGGGCAAGGAGCTGAGGAATGAGGATAAAATCTCCTTGCAGTCATCACACAGCAGCAGCTATGGAGTGTCCAAAGGGAGGAGCCAGCGGAAAGGTACTGCCTTGGGGCTGCCACCATGCAGATCTCCCTTGCAAATTACCATTCTGTTAGTGGTAAAAAATTAAGGAGGTGTTACGTGTATTACCTTCCAAGTTCTGTTTTTCTCTAATTTTTTGAATGACTTCTCTTCAGATGTCAGGCCTTGCACATTTCCGTGCTCTAGCCTGTGCATCATACACCCCGTTTTTCACTACATCTCTGATGGCTGGTCCATGATCTTAGCATACAGAGCCTAGGATTCAGAAATTTTCTTGCACCTTAGCCAGTAATCTGCGTTCTCTTGGCTTTCAGTGCTTGGACAAGGAGGTCTTGAGCATTTTTCATGTCATCTACCTGATGACATTTCCCTGTAAGCCCCTGCCATCCTTTGCAGGCGACAAGAGAATGGAAGCCAGTTTGCTTTAGTAACTGCGTTATGTGAGTAATTTGCTAAGAGTTCCCTGATCACTGCAAATATATTTGGAACTTATCTGAGTATTGATTGGGAGCCAAACATCCTGTCTGTTGTGCTGCTGGCACCAGCTTTTTCTCATCTCCATTTCTAATATTTGCATGTGGCATTTTGGTACCTCCAATCTGTGAGGTTTATGGCTGCACATATGCCACATCTCTGTCTCCTAATGACTGGTTCTGTCAAATCTTTGTTTTATGGTAGCTAGAGTGTTTTGCTGTTGAGTGATTCCTTACCCAGTCTTGCTGCTTGGGCTGTGCTGCTACGTGCTAGTCTGAATTACAGTGTTTTGTTTGTCAATAGCCATGTTTCTGTTGTGTTTTACAGTGTCCAAGTCTCCTTGTGAAAGACTAATAAACAAGGGAAGTTTGTCACTGGGCAGCTCTGCGTCTCTTCCTCCCCAGACAGGAAACCGCGACAACTTGCCAATGCTGAACACAAAAATCCTCTACCCAAGTAAGTGTAACACCCACCACTTCCCATTGAGGCAGCCAACTGGAGTAAGGGTGACAACAGTGCAGGCTGCAGACTCTGCACGAAGACATGAAATTGTCCTTCCTGATGTCCTTTTGTGCAGGGTCCACTTGGAGAGAAATCCCTTTGTGGATGACTTTCCACTAGGGCTGAAAAGGTAGAGATTTGGAGGGAGCTGTAATAGTTTCCAGTTTGTAGCTGAGACCTAGACGCAGATTTTTAACACTGTGCAGTGGCAGAATTTAGATGCCAATTACAAGGAGATACTGAGCTCAAATTAACCTTGAGAAGGCTGATAGCATACTGTTGAGAGGGGTTTCTGAAGAGTGGCAGCCATCGAATTGGGAGCAGCATTCCCTTCCTGGGAAGGCTGAAGTCACTGGAGGTGCACGGATCCAGAATTCCCACCTCCCGTATCTTGTGTAGCAACTTCTCCCCATCACTGTCACACTGTCCTTCCACCTCTTCCACCAAATCACTCGTTCAAGTTGTTTCTTCTGGAAGCAGGTAATTTCCTTTCTTTCTGACAAAGCTACTGTTGTGGGTCCCCAGGTAATAATTTAAGAAGCAGGAGGCAGTAATTCTTGAGTTGTTCTTGAGAACTTCTTTCCTACTACTCTCTCTCTCCCCTTATTGAAACAAGGAAGTTGCTTGTTTCACCCTGGAACAAAAAAGATGCTGCAGTGAATACGCTACTGTTTCCCATTTCCATGTGTCTGTATAACTGTGCTGCTGGCCCTGTCAATCAAAAACCCTGCAGGCAGCCCCAGAAACCCTTCTTATCAAGAAAGCTAAGCCTTCTGGAGTGGAAGAAAGCACCATTGATATTTGCTTTCCACAATGAGTGACAAGAATTAATATATTCTGCCCTGTTGTCTTGTCTCCAAGATTGAAGTTATCTGTTTTCTGCTTATTATTAATCACACTCTTCCCTGTGGTCAATTTTCCTACAGATATCCGTGCTGGCATGTCTGGTTCTTTGCCTGGGAGCTCTGTCATCAGCCGATTGTTGATCCATGCTGATCCCTTTAACTCTGAGCCTGAAAATCTGTGAGTATGCCCAGGAGGTTGAAGGGAGGGAGTGGGCGTTTCCAAATGGACCTCAGCAGAGAAGCAGATTAGTTTATAGAGCTAAATAATGGACTGCAGCAGCCCGGAATTATGTAAATGAATTCATATGCTGAGTGCCAGTGAGGATCAGCTTATGCAGTTATACATGCAGTGACACGTCTGACTCATGGTAGATTTTTTAGGTGAGAATGAAATCTAGATCAGTGTTCTCCCTGCACTCAGAGATGACTCTGGCTTCCAGTTAATAGACAGCAACCTGTGAGAGAATCAGTGTCTCTACAGCATGGAGGCCCAAGAAAGGTCACGGGCAGGCCGCAACAGGGGAAGCAGTTGGGAAATATGATGTGAAGACTTTCTCAGGCTGTTTCTGCTAAACTGTTTAACAGTAAAAATCCAATGATACAGACTTGTAAGTTTTTTTTCATGGGGTTCAGTGCCCCTGAGATGAGTAGCTGATACTTTCGAGCTCATTTGTCAGGCTCTCTGTAGGTAACACCATATATAATATATAAGTAAGCAGTTAGCATTGCTAATGTTTTGTGCAATCTTTTACCCAACGCCAGTGACTAGCAACATAGCTTTTTGTAAATGAAGTGTAGGCTGCTTAATATGTTTCTGTGGCAAGGGGAGAACTGCTCTGAAAATCTTATGGCTGTGAAGTCTTATGGACAGAGGCTGCAGACCAAGGAACTCTGCTCAATAGCCACTTTTATAGTATTTTTTGTGGGTTTTAGGCAGTGTCCACCAGTATTTATCAGAGCACCTTGGCATACAGCGTTCTTGTTCTTCACCTTTTTATGCTAGAGAATTATGAGGTGGCCAGAGGGGGCATGTGAGATGTATTGTAGACTTATGAATTGGAGTTTTGTTCTTCTGTTTGACAGTGAATGTTACACAGAGAAGTGTGTCATGAATAATTACTTTGGAATTGGACTGGATGCAAAGATTTCTTTGGACTTCAACAACAAACGTGATGAGCACCCAGAGAAATGCAGGTGGGTTTGGCTTTGGCTGACTTTTGGATACTGCCAGAAGTGATTGAAACCACTTTGTGTTTCTGTGCAAGCCAATGGTATACAAGTGTGCTGAATAGATACATTGTCAGACTTGTCTGCATAATACTCCTTCAAGGCTTGAAATCATGATGGAGGAGATAAGTTACTGATTTATTACTGATTCATTATTCTGTTGTGGCTACTATAAGACCTTTGAGTAGCTATGTTGATGTGCATTTAGTGCCTTGGTTCTATTTGTTTCGTGATCTCACAGATTTTTCTCCTGGGCCTGCTATTTAGCTATGAGAGAAGCACATCTCAGCTCTAAATGCCACGGAGGCTGGTTTTGGCCTTGATGCTAACTTAGTACAAACCACAGGTTTTCGCCTTTTGAATACCTGAGCAACTACAGGATGCTTTGCGTAGCCTGGGATTGGTCCACTTGCTATACTTGAGCTAATATGGCAAAACACTGTTGATGTCTTGCTGTATAAGATTGACAAGTTCTGTGCCAGGGGAATCTGTGTATTTAAAGGGGAGTGGTGTCCTAACACAGGCAATGACCATTTTGAGTGCTTGACCATTTTGGAAGCAAAGCATCTTTGTGTTTTAGGACATAAGAGGTACCATTTCAGTGTGAGGGTTTTTTCCTTCTAATTGAAAAAGGTAAATGCCTATGCTAACTTTTTTTCTCTTAATGATTTTCCTGCTTAGAAGTCGTACTAAAAACATGATGTGGTATGGAGTATTGGGGACCAAGGAGCTGCTACACAGAACATATAAAAACCTGGAGCAGAAAGTCTTGCTGGAGGTGAGGAATTAGCATGCCCTTCTGTTGCTAAAACTGCCTAATTGCATCTTCTTCAGGCACTTTGACTTTGGCATGGTGATTCTATGTGGCGGCATTAGGGTGTTTCCCTTGCCTGCCTGATAAAACGTACTTGCTCTGTCTCACCCTGAGCTAGCTGAAAATGGCTTTTCCTGGTTCTGGAAGCTAACTTGTATTCTCAGCCTGTAAGGGAAGTGTCATCCTGCTGGAAAGTATTAGCTGTCCCCAACTCAGTATTCAGCATAAATAAGGTTGTTATGTTATATGTGGTATCTCATGTGAACACAACATTTTAGATAGTAGGTGCAGCAGAAATCTCTCAATGTAACTATGCTATAATGTGCATCAGACTGGAAGAGAAATATTCCTGTATAGGCCACGTACAGCATAAACAGGTAGCTTGCAGGAAGAGACGTTCATTGCAGCAGACCGCATAAGTATTTCAGAATTTTTATTCCCCTTTCTGGAGGAATAAACCAAGAGGCTTTGTGAAGCCTCTCAGGTGTGCCCTACTCCTGTTTGGGGAAAAGAAACAGCAGTATCCCTCTAAAACCACCCTCTGCTAGAGGAGCGGTGGTTCATGAGGCATGAATGGATATATTCTATTCCATTAGGTCATGAATAAACTGAAAAAAACTGAATGAATTTATTACTAAGCTCTGCAGGCTGTTTTTTGTTCTTAGAGGATATGCTCTGGCAGGAGGGACTCTTTCCTGCTGTGCTGAGAGTAATGTTGCCTTCTTTTCTGTGTAGTGCGATGGGAGGCCAATCCCTTTGCCCAGTCTCCAGGGAATTGCCGTGCTTAACATTCCCAGCTATGCAGGAGGCACAAACTTCTGGGGGGGAACCAAGGAAGATGATGTGAGTATTCTGTAAGGCAGTCCAGGAGATGTTTTTACTTACTGTTGCTTTTGAAGTCATAGCCCCTGAGGATAGTGCTTGGAAGAAGAGGGCAAGGGGCCTATCTGCACGTACTTTCTTTGAGAAGTGGATAGGATACTGAAGTCCAGTCTTCAGCAGCTTTGTACCCAAGCAGTCTGTAGTGATTCCAAAAAAAATACGGATGCTGTCCTGAGAGTTTGACTTTCAGGAAGTGCTTTAGATTGACCTTCTCCTCTCAGACTGCCTGAGAAGTAAAGTCCCTTGAAGACAAAGATTAGATTAGTTAGATCCAGTCAGAAACGTATTATGTGAAATAAAAAAGTGCCTACTCTCATAAGAATAATTAATGTCTTGTAGCCTACAGCCTTTGTGTTAGCTGCCATTGGAAGCACAGTAGGACTATCAAGGCTCCTTTTTCTCCCTGCTAGCTCACTGAACATCTTCACCTTCTAGCCTCATTGTTAATTTTATACAGATTAAAAAGCACAATTGAAAGCCAACCTCCAAATCGTCTCCAACAGAGCTGTATGTCAACTGAATTCTCTCTCCCTTGTATCTGGCTAGACATTTACAGCCCCTTCCTTTGATGACAAGATTTTGGAGGTGGTAGCAGTGTTTGGTAGCATGCAGATGGCAGTGTCAAGAGTAATAAACCTACAGCATCACCGGATTGCACAGGTATCATTTGCTTTTGTGAGCTCTTCTTGCCTCCTCCATCTCTAGTTTGTGATTTTTATGCGAATTTCAGTCAGTAAAGCCCTCCTTTGTGTGCTCCCTTGTACATGGAAAGAGCATCCACCAGGGCTGAAAATGAGCATGTCCAGGGGCGATTTGGGCATGGAATTGTTTGCTAGTGTTCACTGTGGTAGGAGTTAGACCAGCAATTCATCTACAGATTTGTAGTCCAAGGACACAGCAAATGGTCCCTGCTGCACAAGGGCGAGGCATGCTGTGCCATCCAGGCATGTGTGCTTCTCATAGCACCAAAGCTGCAGTACCTGGGGAAGTGCTTTGTCGAGAAAGAGAATGGCTCATGCTTTTGAAAAGCCAACATTTTATTGCTTCTCTGATGCAATCACATCTTGCAGTGTCGGACGGTGAAGATAGCAATCCTGGGAGAAGAGGGCGTTCCTGTGCAAGTGGATGGAGAAGCCTGGATCCAGCCTCCAGGTTACATTTGGATTGTTCATAAGAACAGAGCACAGACCCTCACCCGAGACAGGGTAAGAGCAGCCTTGCATACTGTGCATGTGGTACACACATGTTCCAATGTCACATACTCCTGGAGAGCATGGCAGTGACCGCACGTCAGAGTTTATCTTTATGAATGTAAGAAGCGTATTTTGCTACATGCCATAAGACTTTTTGGAAAGAACATGATTAGACTTGCATTCACCACTTGGGAAATTGTTTAAATAAGGTTGTTAATCCACGCTTAATTTGCTTCCTTTTCTAGATGCCTTGTGACAGCTTTTCTCAACTTGCTTGCATGCTCTTTTTCCCACAGGATGCCTGCCTTATGGAATGCTGTTGATTGTCTAGACTCAGCTGTTCAATATTTTAATTTCTCATTATTGTTCAATACGTGGCTTATTACCTCATTGACTAAGTAAAGCAGTGTTTTATTCAGCAGTGTGTGTCTGACTAATCTCATAACTTTCAAATATATCTGATGAGTACCAGCACATAAGCCATTTTACTGTATTACTGGATGGTGGTAAAGGAAGGGATAAAGGTTTTGCTGTGGCACAAACAGGCTTTATGGTTTGTCCCAACTCTGTAACTGTCCATGCATAAACAGTTCGGTTGATAGCAGCTCTTAATACTTCCCAGCATAGTGTCCCTTTACCCAGCTTCCAGAGCAAGTTGTCCTCTGCAAAGGACTCACCTGCTGAATAACAGGAAAAGAAAGAACAATGAAGAGGAAAAAGTGAAAGCAGCTTGATACAGGCTTGAGGCACATTGCCTGGCAGGAAGTTACAAGTATGTTGGTATGAAAAGGAAGCAAAGGTGTGCATACAAAGCCCCTGTTGTGGTAGGACAGGGCAATACCCGAGACCCCTTGAGCTGGGAGAGAACAGTGGATATTAATCATAGAATCATAGAATGGGTTGGGTTGGAAAGGACCTTTAAAGGTCATCTAGTCCAAGCCCCCTGCAGTGAGAAGGGACACCTTTAGCTACATCAGGTTGCTCAGAGCCCCGTCCAACCTGACCTTGAATGTTTCCAGGGATGGGGCTTCTCCAGCCTCTCTGGGCAGCCTGTGCCCAGTGTTTCATCACCTTCATCATGAAAAATTTCTTCCTTATATCTAGTCTAAATCTGCCTTCTTTTAGTTTAAAACCATTACCACTTGTCTTGTCACCCCTTGATGCAAATGTTGTGGAGAGGAGGAGACAGGAATAGTGCACATAGTCTTTCCTGGAGGGTAAGAGAGCTTCTGCAATGTCACACTGAGACTTGGAGGGGCAGTGACTGAAAGAGGTAGCACAGACAGCAAGGGAGAACAGGAGTCCTGCTGTAAAGGTGGGAGGGAGAAAAGGAGAGGCAACCTACATGTGGATATGGTGAGAAAGGTGGAGTGAAGCAGAAGAGGTAGATTGGACACAGAAGTCACTAGTGAGTGTGCTGTGTGTTGGGCCATCTGAGGCCATGGCTATGATTGTGCCATCCCACTCCTCATTGCCTGAAAATCTGGTTTTGTGGGCATGATATTGCTGCTAAGGAAGAGGTTCCAGTTTTGCAGAGCCAACATTCAGCTTTTGTCTTGATGGTGGGCTTACCCTTATTTTTCCTGCTGTCCTTTTGATCATCATTGCACACCCCTTCCTTCATAGAGCAAATCTGTTATGTGCAGTAGATGAAGTGTGGTCTTCTCTTCATGTGTGTGACCCTGTACCTTTGGTAGCATTTTTTGAATGTGATTTGGGATATTTAGTTTCCTAAACTGAAGATGGAAGAACTCAGATTCTCTCATGTTGCCTTATCTGGACCACTGAAGAGTCATCAGCAAGGCTGAGATCAGCAGGTAGCTTGCACTAAGCTGACAGAGCCTGGTTTTGTCCTGTGTGAGGAGCAGTAGGGGAAGGGAATGCTTTACCACAGGACTTCACAGGTATTTGCAGATGGAAGAGGATGGTGTGTCCCCACAACCTTGGGTCGTCCCCAAAGGCCAGTTGTGTTCTAGTGGACACTGGCTTTTCTGCTCCATCCACCTCCTCTCTCTACCCTTAGTCCTGTGCTCCTTACCTAGTCTGTACTCATCTCATTTGACTGCCCAGGCCTAGGATCCAGGACTACCATTTTCTTTCCCTTTCCCATCCATGCATCACAGTCAATCTTCTTTCCTTTTCTGGCTCCCCAAATGCTGATTTATTTTTTTTTCCGTGAAAGTTTTGCACCTCTGCTTGTTATCCTCATCTTCTTCTCTGAATTATCCTTCCTATTTCAATCTTCCCCTCCCATAATCCCTTCTCTTGTCTAACCTTCTCTCCTGCCATTTCTTGCACTCATTGATCCCTCTGTCCTTGCCCTGAGGCTTTGTGCAGCAGTTTTCATTCTCACCATATCCAGTTTTGATCATTCTGCATTACATCTGTTTTGCTTCTTCTGTACCACTAGCTGGTGCCAGCAGGACTATCAGTAGGGGCGCAAGTGGGACAGGTCCTAGCTCTTGAGTTCAGCTGCTTGTCCCACCAGTTACTGGGGAAGTCCAGTTTACTTCCAGATGAGGAGGAGCATTGAATGTTTTTAATTTCGAGCTCTGAGAGGTCACAGTAATACTGAAGTGTAGAGGCAATGTAGCTACTTAAAGAAAAGGCTGCCACCAGTAGGGAATTGGTGGATTTTGTTCCTCTGGCCCTCAGAACTGGCGTAGCAATTTTGACTAAAACTAGGCTTAAGCAAAAATTAAGCCAAGGCAAGCATGTGACATGGAAAACTTCAGCCCAGACAGCTAGTTAGCAAAGTTACAAGCAGATGAAGAGCTGGGTCCTGCAATGAAAATCTATGCCAGATCTACATGTTTTACAGGCGTAGGCACAGCCATTTATTTATAGAAGCTTTACAAGATATCTGATAGTTTGCTTGCTTTGTTTTTAGGCATTTGAGAGCACCCTGAAGTCCTGGGAGGACAAACAGAAATGTGAGTTGTCCCGACCCTCATCTTTCTCTCTGCAACCAGAGATCATGTCCGAAGAAGAATCCACCCAAATCAACCAGTTTGGTCAAGCTGCAGGTGCTTTGATCCACAGGTGGGACTCAGTTTGCTTTTGGTGAATAGAGCCCTCCTTTGGTACCTGAAGTTCTTGTCCTGTTCCCTGTTCCTGGAGATGTTTCTGTTCACTCTTATCTTCTGCAGTGCTGGTCCGTGTCACTGGGGGTAGCATCATTCATTATGCACTGTTCCAGCTGCACAAGGACTGGAGTCAAATAAACTTTCTTAGGTCATTCTGAACAAAATATGTTACTTTCATGAGCAAACATGGATCCTTTAATCCTGAAAGAGCCCGTTATCTTTTAATATAAATTGTTTTTATCAGAAATGAAACAAAGGCCTCCCTAGGAGCTCAGATGACAAGTTGCAACCCTGATTCCCAGCAGAGATTTCTGGAAGTAGTCACTGTATGCTCATCTTCTCATCCTTTAGTGAGGCATTGAGCTCCTTGGTGTGGGCCTCTGAGAGAAAATGCCCAGAGTGTTAATTAAACTGCCATATGTGCAGCTGCCTTTCACATCACTATGGCTGTACTAAAATGTCCCGATCATATTTAAAACTGATCCCAGCTTGTGTGCGAAATTGAATATGCACCTGGAGATGTGCATGTGAAATCTGCCTTGCTTTGCCTACGCATGCTCACTACAGCAGGGGACAGTTGCCCTGCTTTGCCAGAGGCTGTGCTCCTCCCATGCTTTATCTTATCGCTCAGATGGGTATTAAAAGGAGATACCCAGTCAGAAAAGATCTCCTGCTTTGAGCATATGCTGATGCGATCTGTAATTCTCTCTCTAGCATTCGGGAAATAGCCCAATCCTATCAGGACATGGAACAGGAGCTTGCCCATGCTGTCAATGCCAGCTCAAAGTCTATGGACAAAGTCTACGCTAAATCCAAGTCTACAGAGGTACTTCACTCACTTGGCATCTCCTGTTTTTGTCCTCGTTCCATAGCTCTTGGTTTTCCTTTCTGATTGACCAAAACTAGGCCTTGCTTGTCTCAGACTTCTTCCTTTTGACTGCTTAGACCTCTGCATTTCCAGGCTTAATTTGCGCATGAATTGCTTCCCTCCAGGGTCTGAACTGCAGCCTTGTTGTAGAGATGGTGAATAATGTCAAAGCCCTGCATAATGAGACAGAGCTGCTGCTGGCGGGCAAGATGGCTCTGGTAAGAAGCACAAAGCAGGAGTAAAGCAGCCTCTCACTTTCTCTCCTCTCCTACTGTTGCCTTGGCAAGCAACGTTTTGCTGGTCTTGGGCTTCTTTGTCTTTGTAACAAGTCAGTTTAACTGTTATCATCCAGGAATTAGGATGGTGTTGCTACATAAGCATGATGAGCAGTCAAGCTAGCTTGCATGGAGTTTGGAGCTCAGAAAAGATGAAAATTATTAACTTGGTAATGTCTGGGCAGTGTGCCTGCTGTGCACTTCCTTTTAAAAGGAGGGACTGCTTTGTTAGCTAGGAATTTCAAAGCAAGGGCCTGACTGTGTGTTCCACCATATGGCTTTTAACTCTGTTTTGCTTCCATTTCTGATCCAGCAATTAGATCCTCCACAGAAGGAGCAGCTCCAGGCAGCCCTGGCAGACATGGACCTCCAGCTGAGGAAACTGGCAGACATCCCTTGGCTGTGGCAGCTTATGGAGCCCTGTGATGAGGAGGTGAGGAGGACCGAGGCTATATTTTGCTAGCTGTTCTCTTTTTCACTAGTTGGCCATGAGTGTTTGACTTCCTGTGAATATATGACTGATGGGAGAAAAAAATCATTAAGAAAGAAACTTGACTCCCTAGGGCTAAAGGAAGTAATTTCCTGCTAAGGTTCCTTGCCTGACATGGAGTCAACTTTCTCTGTTTCCTTTCCTGTCTTGATCAGAATGAGTTTAGAATTTTTTTTTCCTCTCCTACAAGGTTATGGAGCTGAGCTTGATAGTACTCGTTGCTCTTGGTCCATTCCAATCAATTTATGACTGTTTGCCTGATTTTGTCTTACAGAACCAGATGCTGGATTATTCTAAACGCAGCCGCAGTGGCAAATTCCGTCTGGTGACCAAGTTTAAAAAGGAGAAGAACAACAAAAATAAGGAGACCCATAGTAGCATGGGATTGCCGGGTACCAAGTCTGCTCATTCATTGTGTCTCTTTGTCACATCAGTGTGGTCACACCACTACCTATTCTCTGTCTGCTTCCCCTCACGTTCTCTCCTGTTTCATGTGCATCTGCCTTTTCTTGGAGGTCAAGTCTGTCTTTTTCGTGTAGCAAAGTAGCTTATTGCTCCTTCTGTCTAAGTTATGGTCCTGCAGTACCACGCAAATATTCCTGAGCAGAAACAGGAGGTACCCTCTGAAGAATTCTGCCTACATCCAGACATTTTCAGGGATATTTTAGGGGATGCTTAGCAAAGTGATTTTGAGGATTTTGGCATTTTGGTTATCAAAACGACTGTGGGGCCCAAGTCTGCATAACTCCAATCTTTTCACTGCTAATTCTTTGTGATATGGTTAATGGTGTTTTTCTCATTGATTCACCCTTAGGCTTTAATCAAGTTTCCTGTCTAATTGGCTGGGGATCAGCATTACCACAGGGGTACCCTGACCTTTAATCTTATTGGTCAGTAGAAAAAAACTGGCCATGAATCAACAAATTGCTATTCAAGACACTTTCTCTCCAGTTGGGTTAGTTGATTTTTGGTTTATACTCTCCTTATGAAGATTTTCTTCTAAAATTCAGAAGTACTACCTGTTCTGTGGTCTCCTGAGTCCTGTCCTGTGCCATGGAATTGTGGGTACAATCTCCTGTCTGACAGGCTGGTGCTTATTCATTGCCTCCCAGAAATTTGGAACTTTGTTATTCTCTTATTTAGAGGCTGTGCAAGAAGGTGGAAATACAAACTCTTCCTCTCTCACTCAGACTTGGTGGAGAGAGGTTGCCATTTTGTTTACTGAGGAGAAGTGCTTGTACGTAATAGCAAACTAATCTGTGCTTGATTCTTCACGATGTATTTTATGGTTGTTTTGTGAGCAGAGGAATATCAATGATTTATTCTTCTTAAACGTGGGGGTGAACTCTAAAAAGCATATCCAATCCCATCAAAACAAACATGCACTTCCTCCTGGCTTTACTGCAGCCAGCCTCTGCTTAAGAGAACACTTCTTACCTTTCTCTGCCCTACCTCCTTCGTTTGAGGCTGTAGGTCATTATACAGTCCTTGCCCTCCCCTTGGTTTGAGGCTGTGGTACTGCTTGCCCTCCTTCTCTGGCACTGAATGCTGATGGTGTCCTTACCTCTCACTGTCTTCTGGGATTCTGGGTACTCAATGCACTCCTGCTTTTCCATCTCTAACAGTTCACCTCTGGGGAACGGAGGAGGTTGCGGCCTGGCTTGAGCATCTCAGTCTTTGTGAGTATAAAGATATCTTCATCCGACATGACGTCCGGGGCTCTGAGCTCCTGCACCTCGAACGGAGGGACCTCAAGGTACTTTCATGATTGGCTCATGAGAAATAGCCAGCTGCATCTGCATGACCTTCTGTGCTGAATGTGCTTGGAAGTGGTCTTCCCGCTGTTCATTCCACATGCCTTGGCAAGATGAACTGGTTCATTGCATCCTCATTCTGTTTTCTCACCATTTCAGATCACCTGATTTTTAATAGCACGGAGGTAGAACAGCTAGTTGAGAGACCAGCTGTCCAGTTCTGCCACAGCTTCCTAGAGACATAATACAGTCCAGATTGCAGATCATGTTCTTGAGAGTCTCTGATTTTAATGATGGAATAGAAGTCTTCAACTTCTCAGCTCCTGTACCATTTTTGCAGAACATACTGTGATTGTGAAAATCTGGTTCTTGTGTTGTAGTGAATGGACAAATAGATCATCGCACTTCTTTGCTACAAGAAAAAAAATCACTGTGGTCTTTGATGAGGCTGCTAGATGGAGAGAATCTTTTCACATAGTGCTTAGTAACCACATTGCATAACTTTGCGTCTCCTCACCAGGAGATGCTTTCTTTAAAGAGAAAAAATGAAAGTGGTGGTTCTTTGCATGTGTGAGAGACTTGTGTCATCATTCTGGTGACTTGCATATAGCAGAAAAATATTTTGTTGTAAAGTAGTGCATGGCATTTGTTGAATGCCCCTTGGGTCTTCATTTGCGATTTTGACCATCTTCCTGTTCTGAGGTTTGCTGTAATCTTTGTCGCTGATTCTTCTGCATGCCATCCAGCTGCAGCCTGTGTTTTGTTGCATGGTACCCAAGTGTTCACGCATTTGTTTGATGTGACTGGTTGGTTCTTCCTGTACGTTTTGGCTACTGGAATAGGTCCTTGAGATCTGTATGCTCTTTCTGTTCTCTTGCTTTGGCCTTTAACAGTCAAAGGAATTTGCATTTCTGGCTAATGGTCTGTAGTTGTTTCTCTCCGTTGCTCTGTGCCTGTTCATTACCCTGTTGTGCTCTGCTAGCTTTTTGACACGTGGTTTGAGGTCCCATATATAACAATCAGGTTTGTAATCTCTCTGGTTCGTTTCCTCCTCTCTTTGTAACTGCCTGACTAGTTCATAACCATTGCTTGTCCACCTGGAATTTCCCCCCTGCCCTTCTCCTAAGGTAAGGTTTTCTCTTTTCTTCTAGGACCTGGGTGTGACCAAAGTGGGTCACATGAAGAGAATACTGCATGGGATCAAGTTGCTGAGCCGGAGTACACCTGCCAGCGAGGTTTAGCCTCTGTTTTCACAGCCTGTGTCTACCATTCCCCCTAACCACACAGCAGTCACCTCACAGAGCAGATGTGCTCACAACTATACTGAACAGCCAAATTGTAGCTGTTCAGAGCTCATATCAACCAAGCATGGTGCTACCTTTTTCCTGTGGGGTACGGCTGCATCCAGTGGAGAGGCACCTTATCTGCAGTCAAGCAGAGCCTCCCGGAAAAGAACTCGCTGTTTGAAGAACCATGTCATCCGACATGGAAAGTTGTGGTTCCAGTGGCAGTGCAGGACTCCTGAGAATTGCAACACAGCTACCTTTACTGGATAACTTCATCACAGTAGAATTTTTCAGGGCAAAAGATATATTGGCCAGTCTTAGTTCAGGAGCATCTGACAGTCTTTTCAGACCCAGAACTTTCTTTCTCATCTGTGTGTCGCACCTGTATTGTGAGCATTTAAGTGGGACAAAGCTTGTCCTCGTGTCTCACTAATCCCTTTTTAATGCACCTGTAGTTGCATGCATTTTGCATCAGAAATTCAAAGCCAGTACAGACCTCTTGCCGATGAACACCCAGTGATTCTTACTCACTTATGCCTTGCAACAAACAATGCATGTAGTTCAAACAGCGGTTCGCAGTAACTTGTGGGGTCTTCCACTTGGCCTGGCTCTCCTCTTCCAGCCAGTGGTAATGGCACAATCTTTAGGTTTTCAGGCATCACAAACAATTGTTCAGAAATTCCTGGCAGTAAGAAAAGACAAAATTCTGGAGAGCCTAAAGATTAGAGTAGATCAGCTCTGACATTCCCCCTTCTGAATTCATCTTCAGGAGACCAGATGTAAGGAAGAGGAACGCGAACTAGCTGTTTGGGCTGTGTGAGAAATGTGATGTAATGGAGTGAGAGATGTAACAATTTGCTCTGTCTTGGTGAGGCGAGCAGCATGACTGGCAACAGCCAGGAGCGGCTTCCTGCCCATTTAATGCCACCTTTGTGGCCACAGACAACAGAGCTCTTTCTTAACTTCACCTTGCAGTGCGGAAAACTATTTCTGTCACAAAAGATATGATTGATCTGTAGTACTTGCATCTTTTCACCTGTCTTGGTTCTAGTGGCTTTTCCACCTTGCTTCTTTCTCTTGCTGCCTTGCTCCTTCACTCCAAGGTGGATACCAAGAGATTAGGGAGGCTCAGTGCTCATGGGTTGTACCCCTGAAAGAGGTATCGTGTGCCGTCAAACATTGGGGCTCCTGTGAGAGCACTGAGAGAAGGAGCATTGTTACTGAGGTGATGGGCATTGTAATGAAAACTGGAGTATGTTGTAAATTGCCTTTGGTACCACCAGCAGTGGAGTATGGAAAAATTAGTGCCTCTGAATCAGAGTTCCTAGATGGCCTTCAAATTTCCACTGTATTGCCTGACCCCAGTCAGGTGACTGTTAAAGCCCGAAGACCAGCATGCATAGTCATATTGCCATGTTTATCACTGCAAAGGGAATTTGGGAACATTCAGTGCTGTAAAGCTGGAGAAACAGTAGGAATTTTTAATTACTTTGTCATTTTGTATGTATTTATTTTTATTATTATTAGAGAGTGGCACCTGTCTGCCTGTGGCTGCAGACAGAAAAATGGCTACATACACAGTGGCTTAAAAGATAATTTCCTGAGGACATCATTCTGCTTTGTTATTTGTAAGGATTTTATCAAATTGACATCAGCTGTCTAGCCTAGCAACAATCAGTCAAGTTACTTTATATAAAGACATGTCAGCTTGAAGGTTATGGGCTGATTTCATGCTGGGCAAACTCCATTGCATTATTTAAGATTTCACCAAGTATTATTCTGGCTCTCCCTATTTGTTTTTAACTAGTTGTCATTCACCCACGTTTCCTCTCAGCCTAGTGAGTGACAGGGTTTGCTCGGTAGAAATTAACAGAAGGCTAAAGGAGCTTGATCCAGCTAGCAGAATTTCTGGTATAAATATTGTGGGGACTGACCAAGAAATATGTTCAGCTTTGCCTAGAATTTGTTTCTCCTATCTATGCATTGACAATTGCTTCGGTAGCCATATTTTTTCTTTATCAGTGCAGCCCCCCCCTCACAGTATTGAATTTCTGGAGTATCAGGTGAGTAAGAATTGTAGACATACTGTATTTTCCCACTCGCTTGTTGAGGCACAGAGCAGCATCTGCATGAGAATGAGGAGAAAACTACTAAGGAGAGCTCCAGGATGCAGCCATCCTCGCTGCTGACAGTAAGGTGCAGCCCACTGCCTGTCCCCAGCAGTGTGCCTGCCCAGGAGAGTGCAGCAGGGAGCACGAGGCGGGTGATAACTCTGGAGAGAAGAGGCGAGATGTGTGTTTATTCCTGTACATGGTAAGGAGCTGTTCTTGTGAAGTTTCTCCAGGCAACCTCATGGTTAAAGATGCATAAACAGTATGTGCTTGCCTTGCTTGCATAATTCTTGGGGGATTAAGTTCTTGTCTCAGTAGAAACACCTCCTCTGTACTCTTCCTGCTCAGAGTAACAGGGGAATCCAAAGAGCTTATAGATTCAGTTGTGTTCCTTGATTTGTGCTATATGGCCATTAGCCATCCATTCTGAGCGATGATGCCTGCACAGACCAGTCTTCATTTCTTTTATTTTTATGATCTGTCATGTTGATGGGTTCAGATCCTTTTTGTGTCTGTGCACATTTTATGAAAAGGTTCATAGCCAGTATATTCCTGTCTGTTGCTTACTGGAGGCAGGGAGGGAGTTCTACCTTCTTTTAAGAGCTAGAAAATGGGATCCACATTTAACCTGAGTGCCTTTGAATATGTATTAAGGTTTATATCTAACAAAAGGGTTGTAGCGCTGTGTGTCTTGCTGGGAATAATGCAGATTTCTGTTGCAGAGATTTTGTGAATAGATGAGGACAATATGTGTCAAACGTCAGTGAGAGCTATCTGCAAAGTAGGGAGCCAGGCTGAACTTCTGGCTACGTTATTCCAAGTTCCTGTTCTGGCATCTGATAATTTCTCCTGAAAGAAAGTCAGGAAAGAGAATTAGACAGTAAAAAAATCTGCTGCTTTGCCAAAAAAGAGACGACTCTTCAGTCTCAGGTAAAACACCAGCTTGAGAGAAGCTAGAGCTCTGCATATCATGCATATGTTTAGTCTCTTAAAAAAATGCTACTCATGTGAAAGCTGTGCGGCACCTTCTGTTTATCATCCCTCACCCTTGGCAGTGGTGCTGGGGCAGTGTCTGCAGTGAGATGGGCATACGGTTTCTTCTGCTAGGAAGAGATTTCAGTACATTATCTTGCATTTTGGCACTGCCCGGGATATTGAATGGCAGATTCTGGGGAATGACGTACCCTGCATTATGATGTTCAGTTAAGTGGGATTGCATGCCACGGAGACTCGAGGGAGGTTTGGCCTGTGAAGCAGCTATCAGCAGCGTCCTGCTCTGGGCTGCCTTCGGGACAGCTGTTAGCGCTAACGCAGTCTTTCTGGTTTTGCTTGTGGGATCTTAGTGCTGAGAGCACGCGTCCCCTGCTGCAGCAGGAGCCAGCTCTTTGCAGCAGAGGAGAGCTGTGCTGCTTGGTGCCCGGAGGTGCCTTCTGGCCAGGCCGCACAAAAGCCAGGTGCCTGGGAGCCTCCAGCTCTAGCAAGGTCTTTAGTGCCAGTCCTGGGAATGTTTCTGCACCCAAAATTGTAAGGAAAGCTTTTTTCATTGTTTTAGTATTATTTAAAAATGTGCATACTATCTATGTGATTTAAAAAAAGACAGTTTACACGAAATATTTTGTATCTTAAGATGCGTGTACTGTAAAAAGAAAAAAAAAAAAGGAAGGGATGAAAAAAGATGTTTTTCTACAACTGTCAGCAGTGACTGCATGTCTATATCATTGTCCACCGACCATTGTTCCTCAGGGGTCTCCCCGCCATTCCTGTGATCCTGTCAGAAGCATAGGGAAGCAAGTGAATCCCTGTGCAGTCTTGGGAAGAAGGTTTTGTGCCTTAAGAATGGGACCTGCTTCCCTCCTATTTATTGTGTTAATTTATACAGTGATTACCATGGAAATGTCTCTTGTATTTTTTTTTGTACATAGTTTACTGTTGATTGCTGTACATAAGTTTTTCTTGTATATAAAGTAAACATGTTTCTGAGCTTCCAGTAAAGATTCTCATTCTCTTGTTCCTGATTTCAGTGTGTGAGAGGGCTGCAGTGCCCATCTGGTGGGAACCAGCTAATAAAAATCTGTGCTGTGATAAAATGGCTTCATTGTGAGTTGCATCAGAAATTCAGAGCTATTCCTTAGAGAGGAGTGAAATGGTAAATGTGATTGTTGTAGATGAGTTTTGTAGCATTTCTTTGCATTGGTTTAATTGCCATGGAGTAGAAGGCATCACATATTTTTATAAACTATATCTCTGCAGTGAACAAAAAAAGAGATATTGTAAGTGTGGTGGTTCTACTGCTGCTCATCCTGATCATAGCTCCACTGTCAGCAAACCCACAGGCAGATGGGAAGACACTCTCAGACACTTAGCAGGGTATTTGTTGGTTGTCTCCATGTGCTTGCAGATCTCTCATTGCGTGGTGTGGTGTGACCGCATCTTCCTGGTGATGGTGGTGCAGTGCCCTGATGAGAGGGGAACAGTTGTTTCTCTATTCCGTTTGGACATCTGTGCATTCAGTTTATTGCAGGCAATATATACAGTAAGCGGAATAAGTGCAATTATAAAAATGTGGGAGAAATTAATTTTCTCATGAAATGTAGAAATTGACTGCCATAAAATGACACCTGTAAATTTGAAAGTAAAAGTTTTGGAGATGTTTAGGTGAGCAGTACGTGGATCGGATTGTGATGAGCTTTCTCTTCCATCTGCAAAGATTGATGTGTTCGTAAGATGCTGACAAGAAACTTTCAGCAGATTAAGTTAAACAGAGAGGATGGTTGTAGAGTTCCATAGTACTGATGCAAAGTAAACGGAAAGTAATTTATAATGGTCATGAATATTTTCTATGTGAGAAAGTCCTTTGTATTTGATAGTTAAACTGAAGGAATTATTTTGTCTTTGTGTGGAGGGAATAGTTTATGTGACAGGCACATAAGAAACCATAGTGACATATACTGTTGCAAGATGAAAATGGTAAAATCGATCATTAAAATGTTAGTTACCTAGTCCTAGTAAGGAGAAAAGAAAATTTACTGCCTTTGCTCACACATGCACTGGACCTGAGTGTCAGACTGTGCATTAAATAGTGCTACAGAAAATGTGCAAAGAAAGCAGCAGCAGAGAGACAGAAGATATGCTCACTCCTCTGATGCAGGTAATTTGTTTCAGTCTTTTTTTTTTATTTATGTGGCAGAAGCCAATGACAAGAAACTCTTTGCCTCACTCAGTGTATCGTTAGTGGGATATCAGACCTGCCACTGAGGGCTGCTGTCCTCTTGGTTTGATTGATAATTACCTAATGGAT